ACTTTGTGAGTTGCTGTCCCCTGCCCTGAAGCGCAAGGACTCCCGGATGCGAGCAGCCCTGATTGTCCAGAAGCGAGTGGCCATAGCCCTCTGGAAGCTTGCAACGCCAGACAGCTACCGCTCAGTCACGAACCACTTTGGCGTGGGCAAATCTACCGTGGGGGTTGCTGTGATGCAAGTAGCCAACGCAGTCATTGAGCTACTGCTCTCAAAGGTAGTGACCCTTGGAAACGTGCAGGTGATCATAGATGGCTTCGCCGCGATGGGATTCCCAAACTGCGGTGGGGCTATAGATGGAACTCACATCCCTATCCTGGGACCGGACCACCAGGCCAGCCAGTACATTAACCGAAAGGGCTACTTTTCAATGGTGCTGCAAGCACTGGTGGACCATAGGGGACGTTTTACAAACATCAACGTCGGATGGCCGGGCAAGGTTCATGACGCTCGTGTTTTCAGGAACTCTGGTCTGTTTAGACGGCTGCAGGAAGGTATTTACTTCCCGGACCACAAAATAACTGTTGGGGATGTGGAGATGCCTATAGTGATCCTCGGGGACCCAGCCTACCCGCTAATGCCCTGGCTCATGAAGCCCTATACAGGCGCCCTGGACACTGAAAAAGAACTCTTCAACTACCGTCTGAGCAAGTGCAGAATGGTGGTGGAGTGTGCTTTTGGATGTCTCAAGGGGAGATGGAGAACCTTACTGACTCGCTCTGATGTCAGCGAAACCAATATCCCCATTGTTATTGCAGCTTGCTGTGTGCTCCACAATCTCTGTGAGAGCAAGGGGGAGACCTTTATGGCGGGGTGGGAGGTTGAGGCAAATAGTCTGGCTGCTGATTACGCCCAGCCAGACAGTCGTGCGATTAGAAGAGCCCAGCGGGATGCGCTGTGCATCCGGGAGGCTTTGAAAGCTAGGTTCCACAGTGAGCAGGGTAACCTGTGACTATTACGTTTGTTTAAAGAGAAGCTGAACCTGCCCCCGTTTCTTTACCCAGTTAATGTTGACTATCCTCTCCAGTTACATACCCCCTTCACTCCATTCCCCCCCTTCCAACACACGTTTAAAAATAAAAGAAATGCAACTTTGTTAATGAACACCATTTTCTTTATTATGGATTTCGCGGTGAAGTGTTGAAACTGGGACGCAGACTGTGGTGGGGAGCGGGCGTAGTGATGGAAAGAACGCTTCTAAACTCGAGGAATGACAGGCTCCTACTCCTAGAGCGGTCCGTAGTGGTGGACTGGTTGTTTCAACGGAGCCTGCCACCCCTCCTTTTCGGGACTCTGTGTGTGGGGGCTATGTGACTTTGTGGCGGGGGAGGACGGTTACAGATCCCCTGCTGCGTGGCTCTGTGATCCAGGATAAGGACCGCTGCATAAGATCTCTAACCGCCCTCCCCCGCCACAAAGTCACATAGCCCCCCCCCCACAGAACATGAAAACCACCTCCCAGACTGACCAGGGTGCCTAGTGACTGCAATGTGTGTGTGACCTTCTGGTGAACCTGCCCCCGTGTCTGTACCCTGGTAAAGGTGACTGTCCTCTCCAATTACCAACCCCCTTCCCCCTCCTTCAAACACACTCTCCTCTAAAAGAACATGACGGAAACAGTAATTAACAGAAACCTATTTTTTATTAGCAACTACACAGTTAGGGGATGAAACTGGGACGGGGGCTTGGGTGAGGCGGGAAGGAAAGGACTTATCAAATTTTTGGGAATGAGAGCCTTCTGGTACTGGAGCAGTCTGTAGGGGTGGAGTGACAGTTTTCACGGCCCCTGCCGCCCCTCCTTCTTGGGACTTTGGGTGAGGGGGGGATGGGACTTTGTGGCGGGGGAGGGCGGTTAGAGATAGACTGCAGCGGGGCTCTGTCCTCCTGCCTCCGGTCCTGCAGAACATCCACAAGGCGCCGGAGCGTGTCTGTTTGCTCCCTCATTAGTCCAAGCAGCGTTTGAGTCGCCTGCTGGTCTTCCTGCCGCCACCTCTCCTCCCGTTCGCTGTGTGATCACTGGTATTGCGACATGTTCTCCCTCCACTGGGTCTTCTGGGCCGCCTCGGCTCGGGAGCAGCCCATAAGTTCTGAGAACATGTCGTCCCGTGTCCTTTTCTTTCTCCGCCTAATCTGCGCCAGCCTCTGGGAGGGGGATGCCGGGGTAGGTCGGGAGACAGTCGCAGCTGTGGGATGGGAAAAAGGGAGTGAATTCCTCACAAAGATAAATTTTTGTGAACAATGAACATAGTCTTTCTCTGTGAACAAGACCATGCACAGCACCTATCACATGCGCACTCAGGACAAGGTCGAATTTTCGGCCTTCGCATTCAGTGCCTAGGGTCTTGCAGTGGAGATCAGACAAGCAGGGCAGGACAGCGGAATTCGGGTAGTAGGCTGACATGGTAAGCCGTAGACTTTTGGCTGCTTAAAACTTAAATTATAGCAGTGCCCTCCTTTCACGTTCAAAGCAATGCTCCTACCGTTGGCCAGTTCCTGCTGCCAGCAATCCGGCAAGCATGAACTCTGCCCCTGTCCCACCCCCTCGCGGCTGTCCCCAGGAAAGATCCCTGTATGCTGCCCCTCTCCCACCTCCACCGCGTGGCTGTAAACCGCCGGTTACAGTTATGTAAAGGAACAGGCAAGCAGTCCCAATAGTAACATTCCCCTAATTGAAAGCAGGTCACCATGAGCGACATCACTCTGCTGAGGATTTTGGAGACCGAGAAAGACCGCATGCTGCGTGAAAGCCAGCAAAAACCAGGGCCGTATGCCGCCATGCTCTGCAAGGCAATGATCCCAGAGTACTTGATGATAGCCTGGCGTGGAAAAGTTTCCTACCACGGAGGACACAATAAGGCCGCTCTCCCCAGGAACCTCATGCAAAGGCTTTCCAATTACCTCCAGGAGAGCTTCGTGGAGATGTCCCATGAGGATTTCAGCTCTATCCCCGGACATATAGACCTTATTTTCCAGTAGCTGCACTGGCAAGGACTAAACAGTAGAGCGCCTAGGGCAAACTAATCATGATAAACCGGACATTGTTAGATTCTTTTGCAGTAGTTGCACTGCCAAGGACTAAAACGTTAAGCGCCTAGGGCAAACTAATCATGAAAAACCCATTGTTAATATTCCTGTTCTGTTCAAAATAAATGTTTACATGTTTAAAACACTTACCAACTGATCCTTCCCCTGATTCAGGGTCTGGGTTAACGCCTGGGGAGGGTTGGTAGGGGATCTCTGTGAGGGTGATGAAGAGATCCTGGCTGTCGGGGAAATCAGCATTGTAAGCGCTGTCGACTGCCTCGTCCTCCTCATCTCCTTCCTCATCTTCCTCATCCACTAACATCTCCGAGGAAGCGGCCGTCGACAATATCCCATCCTCAGAGTCCACGGTCAGTGGTGGGGTAGTGGTGGCGGCCGCACCTAGAATGGAATGCAGTGCCTCGTAGAAATGGCATGTCTGGGGCTGGGATCCGGAGCATCCGTTTGCCTCTTTGGTCTTCTGGTAGCCTTGTCTCAGCTCCTTGATTTTCACACGGCACTGCGTTGCATCCTGGCTGTATCCTCTCTCTGTCATGGCTTTTGAGATCTTCTTGTAGATCTTTGCATTCCGTCTTTTCGATCGCAGCTCCAAAAGCACGGACTCATCACCCCACACAGCGATCAGATCCAAGACTTCCCGATCAGTCCATGCTGGGGCCCTCTTTCTATTCTGAGATTGCATGGTCACCTCTGCTGGAGAGCTCTGCATCGTGCCAGTGCTGCTGAGCTCGCCACGATGTCCAAACAGGAAATGAGATTCAAGCTGGCCAGACAGGAAAAGGAATTCAAATTTTCCCGGGGCTTTTCCTGTGTGGCTGGTCAGAGCATCCGAGCTCGGACTGCTGTCCAGAGCGTCAACAGAGTGGTGCACTGTGGGATAGCTCCCGGAGCTATTAGCGTCGAATTCCATCCACACCTACCCTAATTCAACATGGCCATGTCGAATTTAGCTCTACTCCCCTCGTTGGGGAGGAGTACAGAAATCGAATTTAAGAGACCTCTATGTCGACATGAATAGCTTCGTTGTGTGGACGGGTGCAGGGTTAATTCGATTTAACGCTGCTAAATTCGACATAACCTCCTAGTGTAGACCAGGCCTGAATGTTTTGTGGTTATGTCCCACTTGCCTACACTCCTGATAGTTTCCCATACTGCTGTATAATAGTCCATCAATTTGAATCATGGCAATATTGATTAAAGGCTTTTAAAGAACTAGCTATGTGTGGTAGGAAGGAGCTCCGGGAAGTTCTTCTCTGCAGTGGGAGCCCTAAGAGAAACTCTGACTCAGCTAGAATTTCTCCCAGGGCTCCAAACTTCCTTTAGACTGCAGGCTGCAACAGCAGGTCTGTCTCACTTTGCACAGCGTGCAACATGCACTCCCCTCTACACCTCTGCTGTCTGTGTGGGCTAAGGAGATATGGGCCTGCCTTTATCCCCAGTCCTTTCATATAGTTAATGATACTAGCGGTGCAGTGGGAGCAGTGCCTCTCACTCCCAGCAGGGTTCTGGATGCAGGATGTGCATGTGGGCAGACCCCCAGAGCTCTGCAGGGATGGACTCAACCAGTCCCTAATTATGGCTCAACTATTCCTGGATGTCTTGTCTGACTTTGAATAACTCCAGTTAAAGTGATTGTGTAACCTTCTTCAGCAGCTTGCTCTTTGACACAGATTGTTCTTACAGTGGTTTTCCCAATATTTAACCTAGATGGTCCCTCTTGCTACTCAAGTCTGTTCGTTCTCATTCTGTCCTTGTTTGATTAGCATGCATAACTGATTCCACTTTAGAACATCGCTTTATATATTTGCAGAAAATTATAGGGCCTCAATCTTCTTACATGCTCAATTCCAGTAATTTCTCCTCACTGGTACCACAGAAATGGGCACAACATAATTGTGAATTCTCTGTTCTTGTCATGTGTAAAAGAGACATGAAAACTAATCTGCCTCATTTATTTTTAGGAGGTCTTGGCTATGGGCCTCGGGGCAAGTCCATTGGAAAAGGCAGCTGCAACAATCTAGTTGTCACCAGCAGTCCCATGATGGTTCAGCGACTGGGACCTATATCACCTCCTGCAAACCAGGTCTCAACAGCATGCAACCAGATCAGTCCTAGTTTACAGAGGGCTATGAATGCTTCAAACCTGAATATACCTCCATCAGATACAAGGTCCTGAGTTACATTTCTTCTCTTCAGTATTACAAAAGAGCATATTCATTTTACTGTCATTTAAGTACTTAAACACAACCTGTTCTGATAAGTGTAAATGGAGTTACTCTGATCCATTATATCAATGATGCTAGTCTGGATTTACAGCACTGTAACTAAGGCTATGTCTACACTACAGACCCTATGGTGGCATAGCTATGCCAGTATAGTCCCCTGGTGTAGCTGCAGCCTACAGTGACAGAAGGAATTTTTCTGTTGAGGTGGGATCACTGCCTCCCTGAATGACGTTAACTATGTTGACAGAAGCACTTCTCCGTCAACATATCTGCATCTGTACTGGGAGGTTTGTTGGCATATCCGTGTTGGTCAGGGGTGTGGGTTTTGTTTCACACCCCAGGCCAACATAACTATGCCCATATAGCTTTTAGGTATAGAACAAACTTGGTCCAAAGCTTCCATGCTTTGTAGTTCTTTTACTGAATGAAGACTTTCATAACTGCAAAAAAATTACTTTTTTGACAATGGAAAAATTGTAGCTCAGTAGGTGACTTGTGGGATGGAAACAGCAAAACTCCTAATAATAAATCCAATTGGTGCAGGGTTTCACTGTATTTTATGTCTGGTACAGTGCTTTGTATGTTGTGCCAGTGCTTACCAAATTATACTAATGTCAAACTCATGGTGCAGTGTCTCCATGAATTTGTAATCTAAAATATGGCTATTGACATTGCAAATGAAAATATTATAGAATCATAGACATTAAGGAAAGAAAAGAACTGTTATATAGACCATTTTACTACTAATATAGCATGTCCCTGATAGACTAGTTGTATAAACACTGGGTAGAATTTTCAAAAGTGCCTAAGTGACTTAGGAAGTTGTACCATTTTCAATAACACCTAAAAAGAACAGGAGTACTTGTGGCACCTTGGAGACTAACAAATTTATTTGAGCACAAGCTTTCGTGGGCTACAGCCCACTTCGGATGCATAAAATGGAACACACAGAAAGAAGATATTTATACATACAGAGAACATGAAAAGGTGGAAGTAGCCATACCAACTGTAAGAGGCCAATCAATTGAGATGAGCTATCATCAGCAGGAGGAAAAAAACCTTTGAAGTGATAATCGAGATGACCCATAGAAGGTGTGAGGATACCTAACATGGGGAAATAGATTAAATTAGTGTAATGACCCAACCATTCCCAGTCTCTGTTTAGACCTAAGTTAATTGTATCTAATTTGCATATTAATTCAAGTTCAGCAGTCTCTCTTTGAAGTCTGTTTTTGAAGTTTTTTTGTTGCAAAATTGCCACCTTCAAGTCTGTCACTGAGTGATTAGAGAGGTTGAAGTGTTCTCCCACTGGTTTTTGAACGTTATGATTCCTGATGTCAGATTTGTGTCCATTTATTCTTTTGCATAGAGACTGTCCGGTTTGGCCAATGTATATGGCAGAGGGGCATTGCTGGCACATGATGGCATATATCACGTTGGTAGATGTGCAGGTGAACGAGCCCCTGATGGCGTGGCTGATGTGATTAGGTCCTGTGATGGTGTCACTTGAATAGATATGTGGACAGAGTTGGCATCGGGCTTTGTTACAAGGATAGGTTCCTGGGTTAGTGTTTATGTTGTATGGTGTGCGGTTGCTGGTGAGTATTTGCTTCAGGTTGGGGGGCTGTCTGTAAGGAGGACTGGTCTGTCTCCCAAGATCTGTGAGAGTGAGGGATCATCTTTCAGGATAGGTTGTAGATCTTTGATGATGCACTGGAGAGGTTTTAGTTGGGGGCTGAAGGTGACGGCTAGTGGCGTTCTGTTATTTTGTTTGTTGGGCCTGTCCTGTAGTAGGTGACTTCTGGGTACTCTTCTGGCTCTGTCAATCTGTTTTTTCACTTCAGCAGGTGGGTACTGTAGTTTTAAGAATGCTTGATAGAGATCTTGTAGGTGTTTGTCTCTGTCTGAGGGATTGGAGCAAATGCGGTTGTATCTTAGAGCTTGGCTGTAGACCATGGATCGTGTGGTGTGTCCTGGATGGAAGCTGGAGGCATGTAGGTAAGTATAGCGGTCAGTAGGTTTCCGGTATAGGGTGGTGTTTATGTGACCATTGCTTATTAGCACAGTAGTGTCTAGGAAATGGACCGCTTGTGTGGATTGGTCTAGGCTGAGGTTGATGGTGAGATGGAAATTGTTAAAATCATGGTGGAATTCCTCGAGAGCTTCTTTTCCATGGGTCCAGATGATCATGGACCCATGGAAAAGAAGCTCTCGAGGAATTCCACCATGATTTTAATAAACACCACCCTATACAGCCAAGCTCTAAGATACAACCACATTTGCTCCAATCCCTCAGACAGAGACAAACTTGACTTAATATACAAATTAGATACAATTAACTTAGGTCTAAACAGAGACTGGGAATGGTTGGGTCATTACACTAATTGAATCTATTTCCCCATGTTAAGTATCCTCACACCTTCTATGGGTCATCTGAATTATCACTTCAAAGGTTTTTTTTCTCCTGCTGATGATAGCTCATCTCAATTGATTGGCCTCTTACAGTTGGTATGGCTACTTCCACCTTTTCATGTTCTCTGTATGTATAAATATCTTCTTTCTGTGTGTTCCATTCTATGCATCTGAAGAAGTGGGCTGTAGCCCACGAAAGCTTATGCTCAAATAAATTTGTTAGTCTCTAAGGTGCCACAAGTACTCCTGTTCTTTTTGCGGATACAGACTAACACGGCTGCTACTCTGAAAAATAACACCGAAGTCACTTAGGTACTTTTGAAAATTAGACTTAGGCTCCTAAATGACTTAGGTACTTTTAAGAATTTTTGTCAGTGTGTCTAACCCAGGGATCAGCAACCTTTCAGAAGTGGTTTGCCGAGTCTTCATTTATTCACTCTAATTTAAGGTTTCGCGTGCCAGTAATACATTTTAACGTTTTTAGAAGGTCTCTTTCTACAAGTCTATAATATATAACTAAACTATTGTTGTATGTAAAGTAAATAAGGTTTTTAAAATGTTTAAGAAGCTTCATTTAAAATTAAATTAAAATTCCGAGCCCCCTGGAGGGGTGGCCAGGACCCGGCAGTGTAAGTGCCACTGAAAATCAGCTTGCGTGCCGCCTTTGGCACGCGTGCCATAGGTTGCCTACCCCTGGTCTAACCATTGTGTTCAGTGCTGAAATGTATTTTTTTTAATTTACAAAATGTAACTGTTACTGTTTTTTAAAATATCTTCTACTGTATCTCATTACTTCACTGCAAATTCAGGAGTTATCTTGAAATGGTTAAAAACAATACTAGTATTTGACTAGGTTGAAACCTTGTTTTCATCTATTTGTAAGCTATATTGTGAAGAGGGCATTTCCATCATTTTACCACTGAAGATTGTGCCCTTAGGGCCTCCATATGTTTTCTAACTTGCAAATTAACTGCTCATCCAGTGTGTGTCACTGTCAGCCATTCAGATCCAAGGCCATGCCTCTGAGCCAAAAGCCATCATGATTAATGTGACAGCAGTCATAATGTAGTTACAGTTAAAGCCATATTTGCGTGTTTTGTATATGTATATACTCAGGTATTTAAATGTGTCACTTTTATTGAGTTTAAGTTGTGCCTTCCAAGTATCCATTTTTAGGCTCATCTTTTGCCGAATTTTAATTCACTTGAGTAATTTCATTTTAAAGAGACATTTGCTAAAGATTAACTGAAATCAACTGTCAGAATTCAAGGTCCTGTATTTCTCCTTTTAATAACATGCCAGTAACTAACACGAATGCATCCCACAGGAAATTCCAATATTTTGACACTTTTTGTCCTGAATTGGAATGAAAAGACAAAACATTGAAACTTGTTCCAAAAAGTTTCAATTCAGAGATGTTGAAATGTTTCATTTTGGGTTGGTTCAACATTAAACTGCATCTGCCTAAGCTGCAGCAGTGTCATATGTGTGTTGTAGTTGGGGGCCTCATGACCCCATTCTTCTGTATGAGTTGGGCTGGCCTATATCTCCTGTGATGTCCCACAATGCCATAATGCACTCTGGCAGCTCAGCCTGATGCAAATTAATGTTGAAATGGACCAAAACAAAATGTTTCATTTTGATTTTCCCAATGGGACCAGTACTGGGACCTAAGAAGTGCGGGGAGTTCTTTCAGGGGAAACAAAGACTGCTGAATGATCATACATGAGTAAAGGAAAACAAGGTTTTCACTCTTGTTTCATGTTTACTTCTAAGGTTCAAATCAGCAGTTGATATTACAGCACTGTTGCATTTCAAATTATAGGGAGAATGAGTAATTATATTAATAAATAGAAATGCCTTGTAGGTAAACTTAAAAGATTCTGGTCCAAATCCTCAATTGGTATAAAATAAAGTAAATGAAGCTGTGCCAATTTACACCAACTGAGGATCTGGATCTCTGTATTATATAACTATTTCAGATCCTCAGTCTTTACAGTAGTACATATAGTGTCCCCTGTAAGTATTTACTCATCAGCATGGGACAGATTTTCAAATGAGTTCAGCATTTTGGTTGCTGACAATCTGTTTCTAATTGTGAATACTGAACACTTGAAATTCTGGCCATAATCAAGTTTAATTTTATAAAATGCAACATTTTAAAAAAATAAACTAGCGTGAGCATCCATTTGCATTTAAAACATTTCAATATCTTTCTGAATGAGCCTGAGCCTGATGCACATTTTTTGGTTTATGAATGGGCAATTTTTGGTTTATATGTAAAGGAGGAATATCCATGCCAAATTAATTAAGCTAAAAAATCCCCAATTTTATTTTCTAGAGAAATACTCAGCCTACCACGTAAAAATCAAATGTTATTACACTTTACTTGCTTATTCAGCAGACAGTAAGTACATCTGTTTAGGGCCACATCATAGTAGTATTCAGGGCTACACTGCAGCCTAGAATTTGGGCCCTTGCAGGTGCCTAAACAAAAGCAAGAGTTCTCCCCTTACGTTAGTGTGCGGTCTACTGGACCTTGGGACCAGGCATGCAGAAGCAACTTCGGGATGCTGCACAGCCATTTACTTCCCACTCTGGAACAGCTGGCTGAGGAGTGGCAGTGAATAGGTAGCTCCACCTCCTACCCCAGCAAAGCACATCAGCCAGCAGAGCTGAGAGAGTCCCTGGGAGCTGCAACTTACTATCTCCTTGAAGCAGGGAGGCAATTATGACTCCCTGAGTCTGTTTCTTTCCTGAGATGCTCCTGGAGTGGTTTGTCCTTGTGGTACAGTCTAGCCCTCAATGAGCCCAAATTACTGTTAGCTGATGCCTTTGATCAATTGACTCCTGACCACTGTAAAATGCTTGTTATGTTAAACAACAGGAGAACTCAAACAGGCCCTGCCTCCCAGGTTAAGGAGAGTAAGTGTTTCAGTAGAAACAAACACAGTGAGGATTTTTCAGCTGTAAACAGTATAACTCTGTAGAATTCAGTGTCAAAAGCCATCTAAGTTTCTCTTGTCTAGTGTTTCATACACTCTTCCAATTTGACTAATCTGATAAAAAATTTACCAGTCTCAGAGGTGAAAAGTTGTAGTATCAAACAGAATCATGTCAAGGACAGCCAGCATGCAATTGCATCATTTGTGTAAGCTTTGGTAAACATTACCTCATTCACTGGAAATATCACACCAGCCATTGTTTAGAGTCTGTTCCTGCTCACGCTGAATTCAGTGATAAGAATCTTATTGATTTAAATGGGATTAGGATTTAGCCTTAATCAAAACTGATAGCAAAACTGTGAACTATATATCTATATCTTTTTCACATATATTCAGTACCAGTACAACTAAAGATGGAATTTTGGCTTTATTTGTATTGAGTGTTGCCCCTACTTCTGACACCATTGTCCCATTATGACATTCGTGTTGTACCTCTTCCAAATAATAGCAGAATTCTGGGGCCTTATAAGTTGATTTTCCAGAGGAGGAAAGATTAGAGATGTGGCGTCTGGGTATACTCTAACTGTCATTTCCTTTAATTAAACGCATACCCCAGTTCTGAGATGAGATGGTCAAAAAACATGCAGGGCAATCTCAGCCCCACCCCAGTGCCTGGTTCCTAGGGCAGAACTCTTCCTCAAGAATTGACTCTAATCAGATACCCAGGCAGAGAACAATCTCTCCTGGTGCTTGCACAGCTCCCTCTCTCTTGAAACTGTATCTACACAAAGACTGAGCATAACTCAAACAGAACGGCAACATAGCATGTCTTCCCAAGAGTCAAAACTTGCTTGCACCCTAAGAACAAGAACGTGGAAGACTATGTGTAATAGCGCCACCTGGTATTGCCTGCCATAGCAATATCTGGAATACACCTCTACCCCGATATAATGCAACCCGATATAACACGAATTCGGATATAACACGGTAAAGCAGTGCTCCGGGGGGGCAGGGCTGCGCACTCCGGTGGATCAAAGCAAGTTCGATATAACGTGGTTTCACCTATAATGCGGTAAGATTTTTTGGATCCCGAGGACAGCATTATATCGAGGTAGAGGTGTAAATGCAAATATCAGATGAGGTTTATTTCTCTTTTTTGTTTTTGTTTTCTTACTGTAATTTTTGAACAATAAAAGTGCATAGTAAAATAATATTAACCAATTGTTCATGGCAGTATATGTGCGTAACATCCAGGTAGGCATAGTTCTTTAGATTAAATTACAGAAAGAAATGCTTATCCCAGGGGCTAAGTGCTCTGACAATTTTTTCATTATTTAGTACTTTTCTTATGGTGTTCATCATAGCCTGTAAACCCCCCTTCCCCCGCAAGCTTTAATTAATTTAGCCTCTGCCTTGTGCGGTAGATAAGCTATTAACCTACTTTTCCAGAGAGGGAACTGAGACTCATAGAGACTAAGTAACTTGCACACAGTCACACAAGAAGTGAGTGGCAGAACTGGGAGTAGAAGCCAGATCTCCTGAGTACTGGTCCAGTGCCTTAATCAAAACTCTGTACTTCTTAAAAACACAAAATATGCAGTGAAAGTAACAAATCCAGCAATTTAACTTGAACCCACATGCTATAACTATCTTAACCAATGATATCTGCCTGTATGTCTAGGTACTTATAAGGCCCCCATCACCCCATCTCTCTTTGAGTACTTCACAAATATTAATGAATTTATCCTCCCAACACTCTCAAGGTGGGAAGTTCTACTATCTCCATGTTACAGCTGGGGAACCGAAGCCCAGAGAGGTTAACTGACTTGCTTAAGGTCACCCAGCAAGTCTGTGCTGGAGCTGGGATTTGTAGCCCCACCCTGCCTCTCCTCCTCCTGCCTCTTTGTGGAAACCAGTGCCATTATTGGCTTAAGATGTTAGGGTGACACTTAAAAAATCCCAGGTGTAAGCAAATTTCCTGATATTTCTGGGAAGAATTTATATGACAAGATTGGGAAGGTGAGAATTTCTGAAACACTTGTTCTGACTTAGCTGTGGAAACATCATAAAAACAAAACTAAAACTCCTCAAACTGTTGCTCTTCTTTATTTTAATTCACTTATTGTGATTTTGTACAGTTAGATATTATTTGCATTTTAAGCTTGAGTTATATCTTTAAAAAAGAGTGATATTTACCAGCTTGCATCCATTACAGTCTATAATTTCCTTTGAGTTTAATACTTATTTGTCTGCTTATTCATCGGCTTCCTGTTTTCTCCACCAACACCTGCTACCAAAAAGGATGGATAGGCAGGTCAACTCAACAGAAGTTAATATCTGTTTAATAAGAAGTGGAAGCATAATGTTTTGCACTCAGGGCCTGCTTGTGCTCCCACTGAAGTCAATGACAAAGTTCCTTTGACTTCAGTGGTGCCGGATCCAGGGGCATATAGAGTAATTTTCATCCAAGACTCTTAAAGTGCTTTACAGATTTTCAGTTGGCTTCTGAACTATCCAGCATATGCATGCAGTGCCTGTGTGTGCCTGCAGGTGTAGTAACTGAGCAGGCAAACCCTTGAAAACATAAAATTAGAGGGCACTTTTAAAAAAATTGTCCCTGCTATGACACTATGTGAGACTATGCCAATTGAGAGAAAATAGAAGAACTAGTATATTAGTAATATATAAATTTATGAACCAAACTTTTAAGGTGACTTTCTAAAACCCCTGTCTTTCTTTTTCCTGCCTTTATTCCAGGTCCCTCATGTCACGTGAGTCTCTGGCCTCTACAACATTAAGCCTGTCGGAAAGTCAGTCAACGCTGAGTGTGAAACATGAGTGGTCTCATGGGTACAGGATTCTTCCTTCCCTTCCTTCCAACCAAGGATCTCAAAATGGCAGTGAGCTAGGGGACATACTGAGTATACCACCTGGAACATCCATGTCCAACAACAGTGTATCTAACTCATTACCCTCCTACTTGTTTGGTATGGAAAATAACCATTCCCCTTACCCGAGCCCTCGCCATTCTTCAACCAGATCTCATTCAGCCCGCTCCAAAAAAAGAGCCCTCTCTCTGTCTCCTTTGTCTGATGGCATTGGGATTGACTTCAATACAATCATCCGTACATCCCCAACCTCTCTGGTTGCCTACATCAATGGTTCGAGGACATCGCCAGCGAACATATCCCCGCAGCCTGAGGTCTATGGGCATTTCTTGGGAGTAAGAGGAAGCTGTATTCCCCAGCCTTGCTCTATTCCAAACACTCAAAAAGGTCTTCTTATGGCTAACAGCAACATCACCCTCCCAGGTTACGGTGAAAATGGGACTGTGGAATACCAGCGGATGCAGCAGTTGGAACAAAGTAGCTTGCAGTCGGCAGTCATGAACAACATGGTGGTTCAACAAGGTATGCCTCTGATAGACAGCCAGCCAATGGGCATGTTAAAAAGTGAACGTGTGGATGATTTTTCAAGCAGCACAATTGACATGCCTCCTCCTCCCCCTCTACCACCTCCTCCACCACAAGGTCCACCACCCCCTTACCATGCACATCAACACCGACATCAGCATGACCTCATAAACCATTCCCATCAACTTGCCTTGCCTTCCTCTGCCCAGGGCCCTCTGTTGGATGAGGATGGTGAATTAGATGATTTCAATGGTAAACACTGCTGTCGCTGGATAGATTGCAGTGCTCTGTATGACCAGCAAGAGGAACTTGTGCGGCACATAGAAAAGGTTCATATAGACCAGAGAAAGGGAGAGGACTTCACTTGTTTCTGGGCAGGATGCCCTCGAAGATACAAGCCATTTAATGCCCGTTACAAACTGCTGATTCACATGAGAGTTCATTCAGGAGAGAAGCCAAACAAATGTACGGTAAGTCTAAAGTGACAGATCCTGTCGGGTAGAAGTACAGTTCACTGCTTATGAAAGTTTAGATAAGGTTTAATTCTGCACTAATTTCTGCTGGTAGACAGAACGACTGCCCATATTTCCACCTACATAGTTAGGGAGAGGTGTTCTCTAATATCAACTCTTTACATTTGACCAGAAATAACTTTTTCTGCCTATCTGAATTATTTCTGAATCCAACCTGAGAAAGACACGTGAGACTTTCATAAAGCAAGGAGTAGATACCATGAGAGTCTGAACTTGCCTTCATGATAAGTACTGTGGAATATTTATTACTGGTTGTAATTAAATTGTCTTGCCTCAGGTTAACACTTTTTTTTCCTGAGCAGTTAGCCAATATTCAAGATCTTGGTGGTTGTTTCTGTTAGGAGGAGAAATAGATGATGGAGTCAGGTATTTCTTTGATACAATCCTGTGTGTTTATAAAGCATGTACAAAAGTCCTGTTTCCCTGACCACAGTAGGACTCAAAGAACAGGAGACAGCTTTTTTCCTGACAGTTCTACATATCTTTCAGCCAGCACTCGACTCAAAAAGCATTCTCTCAAGGGTTTTCTGCAGGGCCACACTACCAGCGCATTTCTGGCTGTGTCTGTGGCTACCTTGGTGCAGCTCTGTGTGCTCCTTCTCCCTCTTAGAGAGACACAGTTGCAAGCAAATCAATCCCTCACCCTTGCATTTACATTCAACCCACAGTGAAACCCTTCTGACATCATAGCCCAGATTCCTGAGCAGCCTGATATGTGTCCTATGTTTTGGGTGGTGGCTTCTAATCTTTCAGCTATCTTGAAACAAAAGGACATTTAATTTTTCCCCTCATCTAGCCTGAATGGAAGGCAACTGTTATGCCTGCTAGCATCAGTGAGATGTCTCCCAACTACCAGTGTAACACCTCACAACAAATGAACATATATTTTCTCGGAATAACTGCTGATGGGTATTCAACTAGGAGGAACTTACTGGGTTTTCTCTATATCATGTGGAACATAAATCAGTCCAAGGAAGCTATTGTCAGTCTGCTTCCAAGTAATTGTTTGTGGGTATAATACATGGAGAGGAATTCTTCACTTAACATTGTACCAGTAAAAACCTTACAGGGTGTAATAAAAACATTGGTAAGACTAGTTAATGCTTTTTTGTCATTATAAGGTGCCTGAACTTTTCATTGTGATTAAAAGATGCAATATTTATGTCATACCTATTATAAACACTAAAAATGAATTAATGTTTTATGAGCACAATGTAACCCAAAGGACAACAGAAAGGATTTGCTGCACCGCAAAAAAAAAAAAAAAAAATCAAACTTAAAATGAATAGCATTTCTTTTACCTTAGGATGGGTAGAAATGATTGTGTATAGCAAATGTTCCTGAACCTGATGAACTCTGTGTATGTAGCATATTCTTCCATGTCACTGGAAGCATGAAATATAGTGTGGCAACAAAAAGCACGGTTATCACGTAGGGAAGAGACTAGGCAAAATGGAGACTTTTTTTTTTTTTTAGTTGGTGCTTTCCGATTTTACAGGATTTCTGCCCTATTCATTAATGTATAATTGCAGGTGTTCTGAATTATGCCTGATTAATTTTAGAGGCAAACATACCATGTCTCAACTTATTTTCGGTTAATAAGAAGGTGCTATTCTCCTGTGCTCAATCAAATGATCTTTGCAACTGCATCCTGAATGTATATGAGTGGGGCAAGATTGCATTTTTCAAGGCTAGAGAAAAGGATGTTGCAGTAATCGAGAGCTGAGATGATGAGAGCTTATATGAAAGCTTTCGCTGTGTGGGTGGATAAATAAGGTCATAGCTGACAGATACTATGTGGAAAGAATCTGAACGGATTAGATATAGCCTGGATATGAAGACCTAGAGAGACATCTGAGTCAAAGTTAACAGGCAGGTTACAGGCCTGAGTGAAAGGCAGGATAGCAGAGTTGTCCAGAGTGAAGTGACCAAGAATGGAGGTGGTGTGGAGGGGTTGGGGGAAAGAAAGGAGGAAGAGTAAGAGCTCTGTTTTAGTAATGTTGCTCTTGAGCTGATGGCTAGACATCCACAAGGAATGTCAGAGACAGGCCAAGTTTTTAACTTGGACAGAAGGTGAGAAGTCTGGAGTAGAGAGGTAGATCTCTGAGTCATCAGCATATTTATGTTTGTGGAGGAGATTTCCCTCTCCGGTGACTGAGATCATGGGCATGGGATTCAGTGAAGTTGGAAATGTAGAGCTGTTTAACTAGCAAGATGGCAGAACTGAAAGTGCGGGAGAATGAATTTGTAGCGGAGGAAGTCAACCTGGTCAAGGGATTTCTTCCAGGGATGCTCAGCAGCATGAGAGCAGGAACAGAAGAAGCGAGTGTTGAGGGTGAGCCAGGGCTGGGAGTAGGCAGAGCAGACCCCAAAGAGTCAAGGGTGGAGGAGAGCGAGGATTGGAGAGAATCAACAACCATAACAATGGAAGAAAGGGAAGAGAAGGCAGGGAGGAGAGGACTGAGAGCAGATTAAAAGTCTTCAACACCGATGAACTGGACATCACAGAAAGGCTGAGGTGACAGGGTGTGGGGGTAGGGCACTGATGGGTGATGCTGAAAGAGACCAGGTCATGGTCAGAGAAGGGGAAGTCAGCAATGGAGAGATAAGAGAGAGAGCCATGTGTGGTGAAGACCAAGTCAAGTGAATGGCCCTTTTGATGACCTGGGATGCAGGTTGAATTAAGAGGTGAAGGCAAGGAGACATGCAGCTATGGGTTGGACAGGTCATCAACATGAAAGCTGAAGTCACTGAAGTGTGGGAGATTGTGAGAAGAGGAAGAGGTGAGGAAGAGAGAGAGCCAGGGAGCTACAATCAAAGGGAAGGGGAGGAGTTGGTGGGTGTAGATGACAACAACATGGAGAGGGAGAGAAGAGTCAATTGGAGTCTTGCTCAAAAGAGGATAAAGAATGGGAAGAGGGAGGAAGGGGGGATTGGAAGCACCAAGAATGGGAGAAGAGAAGCCTGACACCACCACAGTGGTCTGAGCCAGAGCAGAGAATGTGAGAAAAGGAGAGAGCTCCGTAAGAGAGGGCAGCTGCAAATGGCATGTCAGACTAAGGGATTCAGCACTTTGTCAGTGCCAGGAGCTGGAGGGAGTGAGATATGAAGAGGCTGTGGATGAGTCAGATCCTTTCAGAGGAGGAGTGGGCATTCCAGAGACAGTAAGAGAAGGAAATGAAATAACCCTCAGGCAATAAGCTAACCATGTCATACTGCATTAACATTTCAGTGAAATGATGGTTCTTAGCACCAGGCAATTGTCTGTAATGGAGAAAAATCCTCCTTTTATTCATGTGTCAGAAAAGGCCATGGTCAGTACATTCATCATCCCATATTCTGTGCACCTGTCTATCTGTTGGAGTCCATTGTCAATGTAATATATGGTGCATTTGACTGTTTTACTGAATCTCCTAGTACTGTAATGACATTGCTTTTCAATGTACCATCAACACAATATAGGGTCAAAGATGCTTCTAAGCTATATTACGCCAATGCCAACAGAACTAATGCAGACTAATTAATTGTTAAGGTTAAGATGAACTAGAGAATTCAGTTTTCTTTCCTACAAATAACCTTTCATAATTCTATGCTAAGTTATACATCTGAAAAAAAAATCAAGAAACTGCTAAACCTGCAATATTGTATCTTCCAATGATTATAAACATCTAAGTGCACAAGGTTACATAGGTAAGGTTAGTGCCAAGAAAACATTTCTCCATTGAATTAAATGGATTTATACCAGGGATGAGCTTGTTTCTTTATGTTGATGAAATAGAGGTTTGGAGTAGCGTGTAACATATCGCAAGACGAGATGACGGAGCCACTGATAGCATCTGGTCATGACTAGGCAGTCTGCTATGATTCTGAAAGATATAGTAAAAGTAGTGTATGCTATGAGTCAACTAGCTGACAGTAGATATGATGAGTGGCTAATGATTGTGTTTGTTAGATTCAAACTTAGGGTACGTCTATACTTACCTCCGGGTCCGGCGGTAAGCAATCGATCTTCTGGGATCGATTTATCGCGTCTTGTCTAGATGCAATAAATCGATCCCGGATTGATCCCGGAAGTGCTCTCCGTCGACGCCGGTACTCCTGCTCCGCGAGAGGAGTACGCGGAGTCGACGGGGGAGCCTGCCTGCCGCGTGTGGACCCACGGTAAGTTTGAACTAAGATACTTCGACTTCAGCTACGTTATTCACGTAGCTGAAGTTGCATATCTTAGTTCAAAGTGGGGGGTTAGTGTGGACCAGGCCTGGGGATTTCATTCCCAGGAATCCAGAATATAATTGTACTATCATACCAAGAGCTAATAGCCATGAAACAGTGAAAGCAACAGTTACAGAGGTCTACATAAGAACACAAGAACAGCCATGCTGGGTCAGACCAAATGTCTATCTAGCTCAGTATTCTGTCTTCCAACAGAGGCCAATGCCAGGTGTCCCAGAGGGAATGAACAGAACAGGCAATCACCAAGTGATCCATCCCCTGTCACCCATTCCCAGCTTCTGACAAACAGAGGCTAGGGACACCATCCCTGCTCATCCTGGCTAATAGCCATTGATGGACCTATCCTCCATGAATTTATCTAGTTATTTTTTGAAACCTGTGTGACTATAAGGAAGTGATCATACAATGAAACTAGGGTGTAGTAGAAGAAACTTGCAGACTGGTCCTGACTAGACTTACTGCTAGTACAGTGAGTTGTTCTGCACCTGTTTAAGCTACCCTGTAAGTTAGGCTTCCTGTATAGATTTGGCTGGATCTACTGATAGAACTGCACATTCAGATTAGGCAGTAGAGTTGGCTGTCCCTTTCCGGTACATTTTTTCTGTGCTAATAAATATCCTAGTACATTTTTTTTTAAAGTTGGAGAATGCTTCATGCATGGGAGGGATTTTTCCCACTGTTGACTGTGTTTGGAGAAGGAATTC